CGCCGGTAGCCAAGGTGACATCCCCGCTGGTAACGCTGAGACCGGCAGCAGCCGTGACGAGCCCCGTCATCGTGCTGACGCCACCCACGGAGAGGTCGCCGGCCGTCAAGATGACATCGCCGGTCGCGACGGTGACATCCCCGCCGGTCACGCTCACGCCCGCAGCAGCCGTGACGAGTCCGGTCATCGTGCTGACACCACCCACGGACAGATCGCCGGCGGTCAAGATCACATCGCCGGTGGCCAAGGTGACATCTCCGCCGGTCACGCTGACGCCCGCAGCAGCGGTAAGCAAGGCCGTGTTGACAGTGAGACCGTTCGACGCCGTGACGAGCCCGGTCATCGTGCTGACACCACCCACGGAGAGGTCGCCGGCCGTCAAGATGACATCGCCGGTGGCCAAGGTGACATCCCCGCCGGTAACGCTGACGCCCGAAGCAGCCGTGACGAGCCCCGTCATCGTGCTGACGCCACCCACGGACAGATCGCCGGCCGTCAAGATCACATCGCCGGTCGCCAAGGTGACATCCCCGCCGGTCACGCTGACGCCGGCAGCAGCCGTAAGCAAGGCCGTGTTGACGGTGAGACCGTTGGACGCCGTGACGAGCCCCGTCATCGTGCTGACACCACCCACGGAGAGATCTCCGGCCGTCAAGATGACATTGCCGGTCGCGACGGTGACATCCGCGCCGGTCACGCTCACGCCCGAAGCAGCCGTGACGAGCCCCGTCATCGTGCTGACGCCACCCACAGAGAGATCGCCGGCTGTCATGATCACATCGCCAGTCGCCAAGGTGACATCCCCGCCGGTCACGCTGACGCCCGCAGCAGCCGTAAGCAAGGCCGTGTTGACGGTGAGACCGTTCGACGCCGTGACGAGCCCCGTCATCGTGCTGACACCACCCACGGAGAGATCTCCGGCCGTCAAGATGACATTGCCGGTCGCGACGGTGACATCCCCGCCGGTGACGCTGACGCCCGCAGCAGCCGTGACGAGCCCTGTCATCGTGCTGACGCCACCCACGGAAAGATCGCCGGCTGTCATGATCACATCGCCAGTCGCCAAGTTGACATCCCCGCCGGTCACGCTGACGCCGGCAGCAGCCGTGAGCAAGGCCGTGTTGACCGTGAGACCGTTGGACGCCGTGACGAGCCCCGTCATCGTGCTGACACCACCCACGGATAGATCGCCGGCCGTCAAGATAACATCGCCGGTCGCCAATGTTACATCCCCGCCGGTAACGCTCACGCCCGAAGCAGCCGTGACGAGCCCCGTCATCGTGCTGACGCCACCCACGGAGAGATCGCCGGCCGTCAAGATCACATCGCCGGTCGCCAAGGTGACATCCCCGTCCGTCACGCTGACGCCCGCAGCAGCGGTAAGCAAGGCCGTGTTGACGGTGAGACCATTGGACGCCGTGACGAGCCCCGTCATCGTGCTTACGCCACCCACGGAGAGATCGCCGGCTGTCATGATGACATCACCGTTTGCCAATATGACATCCCCGCCGGTAACGCTGACGCCCGCAGCAGCGGTAAGCAAGGCCGTGTTGACGGTGAGACCGTTCGACGCCGTGACGAGCCCCGTCATCGTGCTGACACCACCCACGGAGAGATCGCCGGCCGTCAAGATCACATCGCCGGTCGCCAATGTCGCATCTCCGCCGGTAATACTAACGCCTGCAGCAGCCGTGGCGAGCCCCGTCAACGTGCTCACGCCACCCACGGAGAGATCGCCGCCTGTCAAGATCACATCGCCTGTCGCTACGGTGACATCCCCGCCGGTAACGCTCACGCCCGCAGCAGCCGTGAGCAAGGCCGTGTTGACCGTGAGACCGTTGGACGCCGTGACGAGCCCCGTCAACGTGCTGACACCACCCACGGAGAGATCGCCCGCTGTCAAGATGACATCGCCGGTCACCAAAGTAACATCCCCGCCGGTCACGCTGACACCCGCAGCAGCTGTGAGCAAGGCCGTGTTGATCGTGAGACCGTTCGACGCTGTGACGAGCCCCGTCAAGGTACTCACGCCGCCCACGGAGAGATCGCCGGCCGTCAAGAGGACATCGCCAGTCGCCAAGGTGACATCTCCGCTGGTCACACTGACGCCCGCAGCAGCCGTGAGCAAGGCCGTGTTGACAGTGAGACCGTTCGACGCCGTGACGAGCCCCGTCAACGTACTGACGCCACCCACGGAGAGATCGCCGGCCGTCAAGATGACATCGCCGGTCGCTACGGTGATATCCCCGCTGGTCACGCTGACGCCCGCAGCAGCCGTGAGCAGGGCCGTGTTGATGGTGAGACCGTTCGACGCCGTGACGAGCCCCGTCAAGGTACTGACGCCACCCACGGAGAGATCGCCGGCTGTCAGGATCACATCGCCGGTCGCTAAGGTGACATCGCCACCGGTCACGCTTACACCTGAAGCAGCCGTGAGCAAGGCCGTGTTGACCGTGAGACCGTTCGACGCCGTGACGAGCCCCGTCAACGTACTGACGCCACCCACGGAGAGATGGCCGGTCGCTACGGTGACATCTCCACTGGTCACGCTGACGCCCGCAGCAGCCGTGAGCAAGGCCGTGTTGACCGTGAGACCGTTCGATGCTGTGACGAGCCCCGTCATCGTGCTGACGCCACCCACGGAGAGATCGCCGGCCGTCAAGATAACATCGCCGGTCGCCACGGTGACATCCCCGCCGGTCACGCTGACGCCCGCAGCAGCGGTGAGCAAGACTGTGTTGACGGTGAGACCGTTGGACGCCGTGACGAGCCCCGTCATCGTGCTGACGCCACCCACGGAGAGATCTCCGGCTGTCAAGATGACATCGCCGCTTGCCAAGGTCACATCTCCGCCGGTCACGCTGACGCCCGCAGCAGCCGTAAGCAAGGCCGTGTTGACAGTAAGACCGTTGGACGCCGTGACGAGCCCCGTCATTGTGCTGACACCACCCACGGAGAGATCGCCGGCCGTCAAGATCACATCGCCGGTCGCCAAGGTGACATCTCCGCTGGTCACGCTGACGCCGGCAGTAGCCGTGAGCAGGGCCGTGTTGACAGTAAGACCGTTCGACGCCGTGACGAGCCCCGTCATCGTACTGACGCCACCCACGGAGAGATCGCCGGCCGCCAAGGTGACGTCTCCGCTGGTAACGCTGACGCCGGCCGCAGCCGTGAGCAACGCCGTGTTGACGGTGAGACCGTTCGATGCTGTGACGAGCCCCGTCAATGTGCTGACGCCACCCACGGAGAGATCGCCGGCTGTCAAGATCACATCGCCGGTCGCCAAGGTGACATCTCCGCTGGTCACGGCGACTCCCGCAGCAGCCGTGAGCAACGCCGTGTTGACGGTGAGACCGTTCGACGCAGTCGCGAGGTCTCCGAAAGTACTCACTCCTGAAACGCTAAGCGTCCCCGATTGTACCAGAATGTCACCATCTGTCACGGTGAAGTCACCTAAAGTGATTGTTATGTCGCCGTCGGTGATCGTCATGTCTCCCTCATCGATAGTAGCTCCCACCGTTTCGATGACGAATCCTCCGGCTACGACGCGGAGTCCACCGGCTGTTATGGTTGCTCCGCCGGACACAACTTCCGTCGGACCCGTAATACTTGCTCCTCCGCTTGTCACCGTCACCGATTCCGAGCTCGTGATGCTGCGGATGGTGAGCAAGCCAGTCGTGGCGGTGACATCCCCCGTACAGATGATGTCGTCGTTGACCGTCACAACTGCCGAACTC